GTTTCAAACATTTCAGCGTCATTACTCCATAAGACACGGGTATAACACATTCAAAATATTTACACCAGAGCAAATATTCATGAACAGAAGCTTAGTTACATTCATAAACACAAGCACACAAGCATTGCATACAAAAATACAATCCCAAAACTATAGTTATAAACATATATGGCTATATTCGTGAACAGAGAATATCCTATCACAGTAAAGTTTTGACTAATCATTCTTACTGACATTAGGCTAGTAACATTATAACTCATATTACTTTTATATCGTATTTCTGTCTGTTATAGAACATAAAAAAAACATCCTGGCATCGTGACATTTAGATGCTGTGAATGAAACTTCATAATATTTCACTTGATTATTACTAATACAAAAGTAGGTTAATAAAAAGAGACTTACTGGTGTTTATGATCACTGCTGAATCAAGCCGCTGCATAGTTTTTTCCTGAGGTAATCCAAAGCTTCTTGAGGTGAATTCTGTCTTATTCCTCTCAGTGCGATGCGAACAGTAAAATTAAAAAAACTTGAGGTCTTGCTGCTTTGTTTGCTGTGATGTGGGCGTTTACACGCCACGCGCTTCACGTGGATGATTATTTTACAGATTCGATTGATGTATTGCTCTTATCTGTAAGATCAAAACTGAAAGTGTAATTTAAGTTCTTTTTGGTGTTATCAGGAGAAGATGCCACAAAACGCGTATCCGCGTTTGTCGACCCCAAAGGGTTAAGGTTTAGCAGAAAGAGTGCTTTATTCGACAAAATGGTTTAAGCTAGTGAGAATTTGGTTCAGAGATTGGGGTTTAGTGTTTTAACAATTCAGAAAAACTATTACCGGTTTTTGTAGTATTGTGTTGAATTTATCTCATCAGTGTGTAAGACTGTGTTTTAGTGTGTGTGTCTTTGAGGGTTTGTGTGTCATGTCTGAGAGTAAAGAGTTTCGCAAAAAAGAGGCATAATTTCAAGAAATGTGTTTAAGCAATTGAGAAAAGCTGTAAATCAGTCATTTGAAAAAAGCGTGAGAGATTCAGCTGTACCGCGTTTTCTCTCTCTCACTTTCTTAAAGTGGCTTCACTTCGGCGCATCTAGTCTGCAATACAACGAGCTGCTGCACGCTGTGATACAAGACTTTCACTCATGTTTCGGGACAGTTGACAGAACTGTCACTTGCCTAATTGGGTCACTGTTGCATCGTCAAAAAAAATTTATCAATTGCAAATCTTTTTAAAGTCTTTTTAAGCCATTCGGTACTCACGCACTCCAGAGGTGGTTTTCTGTGCGCTCACAGTCACATCAAAAGCGTGCACTATAAAGCCACCTCGTGAGTATCATATTGAGTAATTTTCTGCAGTTTGTTGAGCTTAAGCGGTCAAATTCACACAAAAAAAAACATCAAAATGGCTGTCCTGGGGAGTATCCTCCTAAGCACAGTCAGTTTTGTCTTAAGTGAATGTAAACAGTTGAGAAATAAATGCACGTGTATCAATATTGTGCATTGTGCATTGTGTCTTGTGTCTTGTCTCAGCAGCCTAATAAAGCTGTGCTGTCTGCCATTAATGTTAATCAAACAACAAAAGACAGAAAATCACTCACTGCTCTTGACTGAATAACTTTTGTAACTTTAATTTGTTTTTAATTTACAGTTTACAGTATATTTTTGTACCTGAATGCTACTGTTAGACCGAAACAGTTTCCAAAACGGAATTCAGGTCCTGAGTTTAACTGATAATATTGCTTAAACAAATTACAATATTCAGTGGTGAGATGATATGTTCTCTGCATGGAGTAACGTCTGGCGCAGAAAAAGAGTCGAGCATCTTACACTGATCTAAAACAAAATTCATCAGACATGTTCATTAAACAATAGCATTACAATTTTAAAAAGGTAGTGTTTGATACAAGTTAGAACAGAAAGTCAAACATCTTATGCTGATCTAAAACAAAAAAGTATGAGATGCTATCGTTAAGCAACCACATAAGATAGTTTTCTAAATCTATGTTGTAGTCTAACATTACAATTTCAAAAAGTAGAGTTTGATACTGAGTTAGAAAATAAAGGAAAAAGAGTCGACCATCTTACGCTGATCTAAAACAAAAAAGTATCAGACACAATTGTTACCTCACCCAATAAACAGACTGGGTGCCATGATGTCTGTGAACGACCCCAGGCCCCTGGTTACCATGGCAACCAGGACACTTCAGCCAGACCAAATAAACTTTACGACCTAATGGCATGT